CGGTTATTTTAACTCCGATTTTGATGATTCTTTACAGCTGCACTCCTTGACCCTATATGAATACAATGAATGAATTCGATCTTCAATTTAAAATATTTACACAAGTGGATACCACAAAATCTTATGTTATACTTAATGAAAGTACAAATAAACTCTTAAGTGTTAGTCAATCTATCATTTTGATAGGATACGAATTCTCCGAAACTAATTTCAACGATCCCAACCGTCAAACTTGTTTGTATATGCTTCGAGATCACATCAGCAAAAAATCACAAAAAACAAACATTCAGAGATCAAGTAACGGGACAAAGCTTTCCAACGGTTATAAACGAAAAATCACGATTTAACGATTATTTTAACTCCGATTTTGATGATTTTTTACAGCTACACTCCTTGACCCTATATGAATACAGAATGAATTCGATCTTCAATTTAAAATATTTACACAAATGGATACCACAAATCTTATGTTATACTTAATGAAAGTATAAATAAATTCTAAGTGTTAGTCAATCTATTGTTTTGATGGGATACGAATTCTCTGAAACTAATTTCAACGATACCAACTGTCAAACTTGTTTGTATATGCTTCGAGATCACATAAGAAAAAAATCACAAAAAATAAACATTCAGAGATCAAGTAACGGGACAAAGCTTTTCGACGGTTATAAACGAAAAACCACGATTTAACGGTTATTTTAACTCCGACTTTGATGATTTTTTTACAGCTATACTCCTTGACCCTATATGAATACAAAGAATGAATTCGATCTTCAATTTAAAATATTTACACTAGTGGATGTGGATATCACAAAATCTTATGTTATATAGTTAATAAAAGTATGAATCAACTATAATAATTATATATATTTATTTAACAATTTTATACCCCTAAAAACTATAATAATTATATAATATAATTATATATATTAAATTAAATTTAAAAAAATTTGATGACCATTGGATCGGCTAAGATTTAATCTCAGCCGTCCATTTCATAATTATATATATATATATATATATATATATATATATATATTTTATTAAATTAAAAAAATTGATAACCATTGGATCGGCTAAGATTTAAATTGAAGATTTCATGATGATCGATGTAAATTGAAGATCAAGCCAAAGTTCCAATACAATATCTTGATGATCGATGTAAATTGAGGTTTAAACTTTTGAGAAAGACATACAACCTTGAAGACAAAAACTCTTTCATTTTGCATATCCTTGCACATTTAATATTTGTAATAGATTAGTAGTGTATGTATTATTTTTTTATTAGGCTCTTGTTTTTGAGTGTAGATATAGTACTTAAACGACAAACGTTTTAATGTTTTGAAGTAATATTTATGTGGCAATGTATGATATGTGCAAATTTAATTTTTTTTTTCTTAACGGGTCATAACGGGTCGGGTCGCTTTACCCCTGTTAAGGATCCGTTAAGATAATAGGTGTGACACGACACGACCCGTTAAGATAACATGTGTTACACGAAAATTACACGAACACAATAAACACAACCCGTTTGTCAGACCTAGGATTAACCAAGCAGAACCACCCCTACAGTAACCAAGTAGGCAATGACCCCCTATCGCGGATTAACCAAGCAGAGTCACTCCTAAGTATGTATGGCCATACCAAAGATATAAGGATTGCCTATTGCGGATTAACCAAACACGATCCATAAATAATATGGTCCCCTATCACGGATTAACCAAGCAGGACAATGGTCCCCTATTGCGGATTAACCAAGCAGGACCAACATAACCAAGTAGGTAGTGACCCCCTATCGTGGATTAACCAAGCAGAGTCACATCTACGGAACTGTTAAGCAGTGATCACCTATTGCGGATTAACCAAGCATGATCACTCCTAAGTATGTATGGTCGTAATGATCGCCTATCGCGGATTAACCATGCACGATCTATAAATAATATGGTCCCCTATCGCCGATTAACCAAGCAGAACCACTAATGACCCCCTATCACGGATTAACCAAGCAGGGTCATGGTCTTCTACTAGCCCTAAATTTAACAAACATTACAATATGCAATTTAAATCACTTTTTCACAAATATTACCAATCCATGAATCAATTCACATTTAATAAAAATAGATCGATGGCCAATTATAAAAGAATCACATTTTAACAGAAAACACATTTAGAAAACCAAGTCATATCCACAAAGGATACTAATATAAAGAATCGGGTAATCACCATATCACATATATTAAAGTCACTCATCGAGACAGGTCCGCAAAGCCTCACTGAGCCTCTATTAAGACTAATTTTAGTTTTATAAATAATTCGAGACATGTTGACCAAAAGTCAACTCTTGATTACCGGTGGTGCCCACAACCCTACGTAATTCTATCCATAAGATCTGCACATCGCATTTCAGATCCGTAACTTCCAAAGACCCATATTATGCTTTTAGAACAACATACTAAAATTCCATCTTGATCCGACGGTCGGATCTCCGTCAATCACAATTTCCATTGATGATCAACGTTTTATTTTACGAACTTACAATTCCAATTCGGGAAGATCCGTACGTCGAATTCCCGATCCATAAGTTTCTATGATCCTTAAATATTATGTTCTATCACACATTAGGGTTTGGTGACGATCCAACGGTCGGATCGTCCATTCATATTTTGATCAAGTAAGGTCTCTTAATGAAACTAAGTTCAAACAATCAAATTACGTCATACGGATATCAAACATGAACTCAGGGCATCTAATAGTACTTAAAAAGACATCGTTGGCCCACTGGCCACGCGTCGCCGCGGGTGGTGGTTTCCGGAGAACGGAAACCCAATTTTCCGACTAACTCCAAAAATTACCAAATTTTACAGAAAAATAGAGCTCAACAAGAGGAACAAGTTTTATACCTACCATAAAGTCCAAAAGTGGACGTAAGAGGGTCAATTTTACCGATAAAGCCGGCGGGTGCCTAAAGTTTCCCGATGTTGATTCGTCGCCTACGGTGGTCCAACGGGGTCAAGGCTGGTCGAGATTTTCTCTTGGGATGACGGGTATGGGTGGGCATAAAAACCGCCAAACCGAAAAACCGAGTCGAACCGTGACAAAAAGAATCGTAAAAAACCGCGTTGACCAAAAAAGTTAAAACCGGAACAAAAACCGAACCGAACCGTTTCAAACGGTTCTGATTTCAGTTTGGAAATATTAAGAACCAGAGGAACCGGACCGAACCGCTTTTAATATAAATGATTGTTTTATTATTATTTTTATATAAATAAAACATTTTTCCAAGAAGACCATGTGCATAAGCCCAATATTTGTCTTCACTTCTCTCCTCCTCCTTTATTATTTTATCACTTTTCTCCCCGTACATTATTTTTCTCCATTCTTTTCCAGTATATTATGCATTATGTACATTTTAGTTTTAGTTTTAAGATCTACACTTTGGTCTTGATATGAGCCTTTCTATCTTTTGATTTATATTTATATGCACACTTTCTATCTTCCGGTCACAAATCTTGTAGATTTAGTAGTGAAAACTCAAATTTATTTGAATTTGTGGTTGAAATATGTGTTTGGTATTAGAAGTAGAAAATTAGGAAAAACATATATATAATTTTGGTAAGAACCATAAACCGGAATGAACTGAACCGAAACCGTCATGAATCGAACTGTACGGTTTTAGTATTAAATTTAAGCGAAACTGCACCGAACTGAACCGTTTAAATTTTTCGGTTTCGATTCTATTTTGAGAGTGGAACCGGGTCGAACTGGACCGTGCCTACCCCTAATGATGGGCTACAAAGCCCAAGTGGTGGTGTCGGCCATTGCTTTGCCGATTCGCCAGAAAATTGAACAGGGTGGTCGGAGCACCCTTGGTTTTCATGGGACTTTGTGTAATTGCACCGCCACACATGGTGGTTAAAGGGGTTGGTCCTTGGGTGGGTTTTGTAGAGGGGAGTGAGAGCTTCAAGATGGTGGTGGGAGTTGGTCGAAATTAGTATGGAAAGTCATGGGTCGCTGGGATCGATTTTTGGGGTTTTCTGGGCTTTTGGATCAGGTTTCCCCCTCTTTCTCCCTTCCCTCCTTTCTCTCCTTTCCCCCTTTTTGATTGGCGAGCTTCCTCCTTTCTTCTCTCCCTCAACTCTCTTTCCCCTCTCACAAGCTGCCATCTGGCAGCTTCTAGATACTTTTTTTTCTTCTTTTAAACTACTAAAGCATCTCTAATTTATTCGTTATAGCTCCGTTTTACAAACGGTTTGCGCCTACGCGTTTGTGAGATCGAGCTCTATTTGAGAATATAAATTTTGACCTCAAACGGTCTACAAATTTTAAATGATTAATTTCCAAACTTCACTTTTCGTAACTAGTTTAATTAAAATCTAAATTCAAATAAATTAATATAAATTCCTGAAAAATAATATAAAATCTCAATAACACGAATACATAGATTATAACAGTTGGATTTCACAACTTTCTAGTTACTCTCTATAACCAAACACTCCCCACAGTCTCCATGCCAATTTCAAACAAAAAAACCCAATTCCCCCCAAACCCTAACTCTAACTTTGAAATTCTTAGCTTCAATCATCCCCACACAAGGTCCGAAAATAAGAAAGTTGATTAAATTATTTCAAACAAAAATAATATTTTGCCTCTTTGATTAGTTTTTCTCCAGTACTGTTGATTGTTAAGAAAGCACCCAGGGCAACGAAAGAAAATATTGTAACACGTGAAATTAATTTATATGACAATGAAATTATTTTGTAAAGAAAATAAGAATATAGTATGGTTACCTTTTCAGCAATTTTATAGCACCTCGTCAACTTTTCTTAGCTTTAATCATCAACTTTTTGGCTTCAGATTTGAATCGGACGGAATATTTTGGCTCGGAATCGGTCAAAATCGGATAATTCATATTCCTATCCAAGTTTCATCCCTACGTACATGTATTATAATGAAATATGAATTGTTTAAATACATGCCAGTTTCTCTACTTACCCCTGTAGCGTGGGCAGTTCAAGCAGAAGGTTTCGGTGCTTGATAAGTCGGGGAAGCCAATCCTTACAGCAACTGACAGTTCAAACCCCTGGTGGGCTCTTCTTGAAGATGCTGTCAAAAAAGCGAATGGGAAACTTGGTAAGCCAGAGATTTTTCCTGCTTCAACAGATGCTCGCTACTTCCGGAATCTAGGCTTGCCAGCAATTGGATTCTCTCCGATGGCCAACACTCCCATTCTTCTTCATAACCACAATGAGGTGAGTAGCCAGGCTGATACTTTGGTTGTTCTGTTTACATGTGCATCCTTAAGCGTTTGTGAACTCGTCTTTCAGTGGTTTTTATTTTATAAGTTAATCTTCAACTAAGTAGTTTAACCATAAATTATCACCTCGTTGCAGTTTCTAAACAAAGACGAATACTTGAAAGGAATTGATATTTACGAATCTATTATCACGGCGTATGCGTCTTATGTCGATCATGGGAAAAGCGCGAGTTCCAGAGATGAGTTGTAATACCACAATGCGTACGGATGGTTACTTGTCTCATGAGACGATGCCTGGTGTTTTTGCATTGTTGTAATATATTGATATGAGAAATGCTTTGATACTGGATATAACAATAAGGCGGAAGGGAAGAAGTTTGCCTCACAATGCACAGGGCCTATTATTTGCAATACTGGTTGATCTGACTTTTACCCTTTAGAAACAGGTTTCAGGAAATATATTGGTTGCATGCTTGTGTTTCCGATTATGGGAAATCTACTTGTCCCTCAACTTATGATTAATATACCTTCACCGTGCAAACATCATAATTAGAACTGTTCATTTTATTTATTATCAAATAAAGATCGTATGTGCAAGAAATCATTCAATTTGATTTTCCATCAGGCGTTTTTCCTCTTTGTTGCACAGTTAGATGACAGAATTGCCCTCCTTTGCCATGCGTGTTCTTCGTGGACCACAACTTTTTTTCTCTTCTGGATTCTTCTTTCGATTTCTGTCTCTCTCTCACAAACCCTTTTGTTTCTCTCAAACCTCTCTTTGCCTCGCTTTCCGATCTCCAGTTCTCTCTGTGTCTCCTTTCTTCCAGAAAACACTCAAGTTAGTCAAATTTGTTTAGATCTTTTTGTCGGGGGCTACAGATCGCAGCGCTCTTTTGCTGAAATAGTGGTCTCGATTTAAAGAAAATTTGAAGCCCATAAAAGATCGCGTTTCCTGCTGCCGATTTGGTGTGGGTAATTCTCTGCTTGTTAAGTCCACACCGATACCGGAGAATCAACCAGAACCGGTAGCTATGGAAGTAAGGAAGGTGAAAGGATAGAGAGAGAGTCACATAGAATATTCTATTGATTTCTTCAAAAGTGCCCCTTACAATTGAATTCGGAGATATGTATATCCCTCATGCTTACAATTCCCCAATACAAAAGTACCCCTGGATAACTAACAATTACTGAAACCTCTACTAATTATTGGTCCATTACAATCGAACCCCATACTTTTAACTCCATACAATTATACCCTTAACTACCTTACTCTTTAGTCCTTACTACTATTAGCTAAACTCTCACTGTGACTAAGGCAATCACAACTGGTTCATAACAATACCGTCCCCTTAGAGAACCTTGTCCACAAGGTTTTAGAGAGGAAATGAAGGGTATTTAGCTTTGAACTCATCAAAATCCTCCCAAGTAGCTTCTGATCCTCCTTGCTATTGCCACTGTACCAGTAGTTGAATTCCTGCAACGTCTCCTTTCTTATAGATTCTCCTTGCCAACACTGCAACAGGTGTATTCTCCACCAATCCATCTTCAACAAGCTGTGGCAAAATAGTCTGTGGTGTCGCTTTAGTTCCCAGTTGTTTCTTCAATTGACTCATATGGAACACAGGGTGAATTTTTGTGCTTGATGGCAGGTTCAATTTATAGGCCACATTCCCAACCTTCTCACAGATCTCATAAGGTCCATAGTATCGTGGTTGAAACTTATGGTAACTGTGAGGAGATAGAGTCTGTAACTGATAAGGAACCAGTTTTAGATACACAGAATCCCCAACTTCAAATTGCCTCTCCATTCTCTTCTTATCATACTGCATCTTCATGCGATTCTGGGCCATTTCCAGGTTGTGTTTTAGCATAGATAAGACCTTATCCCTTTCCAATAAACCTTGCTCCACAACTTCCACCCTTGCCGTACCAAATTCATAGGGTATAATTTGAGGAGGAGGGTAGCCATAGACGAGTTCGAAAGGTGTGAATTTGGCAGAGGAGTGGTAGGAGGTGTTGAAACACCACTCAGCCCAAGGGAGCCATTGAACCCATTTCTTTGGTTGATCCCCAACAAAACACCTTAAATAGGTCTCAAAACACCTGTTCATCACTTCAGTCTGACCATCAGTTTGGGGATGGTAACCAGAACTCATACACAATTTGGAGCCTTGTAATTTGAACAATTCTCGCCAAAAGGCACTGACTAAAATAAGATCTCTATCACTGACCACTGACCTTGGCATACCATGTAGTTTCAGGACATTGTCGATAAAGGCTTGTGCTACTGTGATTGCAGTGTAGGGATGGGACATCGCTATGAAGTGAGCACTCTTAGACAACTTGTTAACTACCACTAATATCACAGACTTTCCTTTGCATAAAGGCAACCCCACTATGAAATCCATGTTGATGTCTGTCCAAACTCTTTGGGGGATTAACAAAGGTTGCAACAACCCTGGAGGAGCAATGGTTTCCACCTTGTTTTATTGGCACACCTAACATTCTGCCACATAATTCTTGATGTCGCTTTTCATTCCTTGCCAATAGAAGCCTCTCTTGACCCTTTGGTATGTCTTGAGTACCCCTTGGTGGCCTGCAGAGGGAATACAATGATACTCTTCTAAAATTTTCTTTTTCCATTCAGAATGAGGGCTCAACACCACCATTTTCTTGTAAAGCAAGAACCTATTGTCAAGAGTATACTTTCCCAAAGAGGAGCCACGTGTGCCATTTATTGCCGAGTCAGTAACTTCTTTTTCCATTGCTATGATCCACTCATCTTGTTCAGTATTTCTTTGTAATTCATCAATCCATCCATAGTAGGGGTAAGAAATGGCATAGCAAGCTTCCTTAGTCCCAGAAGTAGGTTCCCGTAACTCCAGCACTCCTTGCAACCTAGATAAGGCATCTGCTGCTGTATTCTGAGAGCCATTTTGGAACTGTATCTCGTAATCATACCCCAGTAATTTGGAAACCCATTTTTGTTGGAATGTCGTATTAGCTCTGTGGTGCAGAAAATATTTAAGATTGTTATGATCAATCTTTATTATGAAATGCCTTCCCTGCAAATAGTTCTGCCATTTCCTTACTGCATAAACTACTGCAATTAGTTCTTTTTCATACGTGGAGAGTGCTTGATTTCTTGGACCTAGGGACTGACTTGAAAAAGCAATAGGTCGTCCTCCTTGTTGTAACACAGCTCTAATACCACAGACTGAGGCATCACACTCTAACTCGAATGGCTTGGAGAAATCAGGGATGGCCAACACCTGTGGATAGACCATAGCTGTTTTAAGCTTGTCAAAAGTGTGTTGAACTTCTGTATCCCAATGAAATCCATCGTTCCGAGTCAAGTGATATAAGGGTTGGCAGATTTTGCCAAAGCCAGGTACGAATTTTCTGTAGTAGCTTGTTAAACCCAAGAATCCCCTGAGTTCTTTGACATTTCTTGGTGCAGGCCAACTTTGTATAGCTTCAATTTTGCCAGGGTCAGGTGCCACTCATTCCTTAGATACAATGTGCCTCAAGTACTCAACTCGACTTTGTCCAAAAGAACATTTAGACTTCTTGAGGAAGAGTTGATTGGCTCTCAACATTTCAAACACCGTCTGCAAGTGAGCTAAATGGGCTTCCCAGTTTTTATTATAAACAAGGATGTCATCAAAGAAGACTAACACATTTTCTCAAGTAAGGTCTGAACAAGTCATTCATTAAACCTTGAAATGTGGCAGGAGCATTTGTAAGACCAAAATGCATTACTAAGAACTCATAGTGTCCCTCATGAGTCCTAAATGCAGTTTTTGCAATATCCGCAGGTTGCATCAATATCTGATGATATCTGGATCTTAAGTCGAGCTTAGAAAAATAGAGGGATCCATGCAACTCATCCAACATATCATCAATAAGGGGTATGGGGTACTTATCCTTAATAGTGAAGGCATTAAGCTCCCTATAGTCAATGCACATTCGCCAAGTGCCTTCTTTCTTTTTTCACCAATAACACAGGGAAGGAAAATGGACTATGGCTTGGCCGTATGAAATCTGCCTCAAGTAGCTCATGAACAGCCTTTTCTATTTCTGTTTTCTGCAATGGACCATAGTGATATGGTCGGATGCTTGGTGGTTTAGCACCTTGCACTAGAGGAATACGGTGATCATGGGCTCGCTGTGGGGGAAGCTTGGTGGGTAAGGCAAAGATTGCCTCAAACTCACCCAAAAGTTGTTGCAGCTCTTGTAACTGTACTACATTTAAGTCATATGACTCTAGTTTCTCCTTTTCCATGGAATACAATAATAATCCCAAGTTAGAGTTAACTAGCTCCTTCTCCAATTGGTGCAATGATACTTCTTGAATTTCTGAGGCATTAGAAGAATGGTGAGACAACTTATAGGTATGGTGGTCCTTAGTGAACTCCATAGTGAAGAGTTGGAAATCCCATAACACAAGGCTCATTGTGGAGAGCCATTGCACCCCTAAAACAACATCGCAACCACCCAAAGGCAAGGAATATAAATCTGTGAGACAATGATACCCTGCAAGAGATAATTCCACAGCCTTTCAACAACCGACACTCATAACCTTGCCACCATCTGCTATCATGACCTCAAAAGTCTTAGTAGGTTCTACTGGCCATCCCCATTGTTTAAGCAATTTGTAATCGATAAAATTGTGTGAACTACCCGAATCCAGTAGGATTTTCACAGTTTGACCATTAATCTGGCCAACCACCTTCATAGTTTGTGCTGTAGAGCCGCCATGAGTGCCATAAAAAGCACATTCACTGAGCTCCATGTGCTGCAATGCAGGTTGGTCCTCACCATCGCTTGCTACAACTTCTGAATCCATCAGATCCATCATCAACAGTTGCTTAAGACCACACTTATGCCATTTATCCCACTTATCGTTGCAAAACCAGCATTCCCCTCGCTCTCTCTTCTGCTGGATCTTCTTCGGGGTTAGCTTATTACTAGTGAGGTTGCTAGTTTTTGGCACAGTATGATAGGAAGCGTGACAGTAGATGGAAGTGGGTTATAAGCTGTATAGGGTCGAGAGGGGACCGATTTGAGCTCAGTAAGCTTGGAATCAAGCTGCATAGCAATGGCAATAACCTCATGGACAGTTGCCGGTTGTTACAATTTAACATCATAGTGGAGTTCCTTTTTGAACCCCTCTAGAAAGCAACTTCGCAACAGAAGAGGGTTAATCTCAGGTGATCGAGTAGCCAAACAGCGAAATTTCGCAATATA